GGCTCAAGTGGTAGAGTGTTAGCCTTGAACAAAAGAAGTTCAGAACAGTGCTCAGGCCCTGAGTTAAAGCCCCAGGAATGGAAAAAAATGATTTGGGGGGATTAGGAATATAGTTCAGCAGTAGAGTGCTTGTCTAGCAAATGCAAGGCCCTGGATTCAATCCCCAGTACCACAAGGAAACTAGTGGGGGAAAAAGCCAATAAAGTTACTTGTTTAAAAAATTATTTTGGACTTATTAATAAATAAAATTAATTAATTAATAATTTTGGGAAGTGCCAGTAGCTTTCACCTGTAATCCTAGCTGCACCAGAGGCTGGAATCTAAGGATTGTAGTTAAAAGCCAACCCAGGGCAGGAAAATCTATGAGACTCTTCTCTCCATATAATTACAAAAATAAAAAATAGAACAGAAATGGACTGTGGCTCAAGTGGTAGTGTTAACCTTGAGTACAGAAGTTTAGGGGTGGCAGCCACATCCTAAGAACCGGCACTAACAAAAACAAAAACAAAACACTTTATTATCTAATTCTGTTAAATTCTAGCAGGGGCGGCGTGGGGTGGGGGTGAGGGACAGAGGTAGTGTCATTAGAAATTGATACCCCTATGAGTGGCTTTTTAGAAAGACTGTGGCTTTTAGAATTCTAGTTTGATGTATTCAGGCCCAGAACCACTATGGATATAACACAAGAACCCTCATTTATAAGCAAGCAGGCACCAGAATCCAGTATGTTCTTCCAGTTGATCTGCTGAAAGCACGTTGGTGTAATGCAGTCAGACTTCATTTGGGCCATCCTTTGCTGTTTAGGTTACATTGACAATGAAAGATCTGAAGCCATAAACTTGGAGCAGCTTCAAAATATCAGTTGGCCCTGAAACTTAAAGATGCTTATTATGTGCATTTATTGTGCACAGGCTCAATGCTGTCCAAATCTACCCTGGGTCTCCAATCAAAAAGAGGTACTGAGAAGAACACTGCTAATATGACATGACTGGAGACAATCCAGAGTGACATGACCTGAGGGAGTGAGGAAAACACTTATGGTTTCCAGACAATCACCTCCCCCCTCCCTGCCACTTATTTTAATGTGTGCACATTACATTCCTGCCCTGGCAGTCATAGGCAGAAAGGCCAAGAAATATAGCCACGGCATCTATTGACACCACCGTGGTCACCTCAAGTGCTGTCAGTTCTAGGTTGATTGTAGTCTGTATGCACAGACAGTGCCTGTCTGTAAGCACTGCACCCACGATCCGATCCGTACTCCACTTGCAGAGCCAAGGCTAGCCAGGCATCTCCCCAGAATCTAGCACCTTTCACAAGAACTCACCAGGGAGCCAGACAAGAAGAAAGACAGTTATCCAGTTTGGAATTTGCTCCATTAAGACGGCAAAGAAGGACAGGTTAGATTTCAACTTAGGTCCAGGTTACAGAAAAACTAAACAGTACCAAAATCTGCCTACTTGTAGTTTCTGAAGCAATCTGGCAATGCAATTGGAATGTATCCATTTCAAATGGGTTGTACAAGACTAAAATTTTCTACACAGCAAAGAAAGTAGGCACTAGTCTAAAAAACAGGCACTAGACAGAAAGGGAGAGAATTTTTGCCAGTCTTTCCTCTGAAAAGAAATTAATAACCAGAATATTCAGGGAGCTCAGAAAACTAAACTCCCAAAGAATCAACAACCCAATTAATAAATGGGCAAATTGAATAGCCAATTCTCAAAATAAGAAATAAAAATGACCATTATTGGCCATTATTGGCTATAAAAGAGATGGCAAATCAAACAACTGAGATTTTTAACTTACTCCAGTGAGAATGGCCATCACCAAGAACACAACAAATACTGGTGAGGATGGGGAGTGAGGAACCTTTAAATATTATTGGTGGGATTGTAAATTAGTGCAACCATATGGAACACAGTATGGTGGTTTCTCAAAAAACTGAAAAATAGGATCTGGCCACCAGCGACTCATGCTACTAAGGAGCAATGCAGCAGGCTGGAACATGGCAGACTGAAGTACAAAGCCAGCCTGGGCAGAAAAGTTCCTGAAAAGTTTCTATCTCCAATAAACTAAGGAAGAACTACTATGCAAGTAAACCAAACAAGTGTGAGGCTTTGAGTTCAAACCCCAGTACTGACAAAAGGAAAAAATAAAATCTACAATTACCAACAATATCATTCTTGGGCACATATCCAAAAGAATGTAAGTCAGGATACCATAAAGGCTCTTGCACATCTAGTTCATTGCAACACTATTCACAATAGCCACGCCATGGAGACAACCCAGATGCCCTACAATTGATGAATGGATCAACAAAATGTGGTACATGTACACAGTGGAGTACTATGCAACCATAAGAAAGAAGGAAGTTATGTCATTTGCAGGAAAATGGGTGGAACTGGACATCATCATGATAAGTGAAGTAAGCCAGGTTCAGAAGGCCAGAAGTGGAATATTATCTTTCCTGTGTAGATGCTAGATCTAAAAGATAAATATACACATAAATACAGACAGACTTGTTTGTGTGAACATGTTTGAGGGATGAGAGGGGAGGGAAGAACAGAAAATGCATATTGTAATGCATTGCACCTGTGAATTAGGATCACAAAATGAAACTCACTGAGAGCTTCTGGGTAATAGAAATAGTGGGGATGAGGAAGTGAGAGTCATCAAGGAGGTCAATTTGATTAATACAATAGTATGAATGCACGTGCTAAATACTCTGGTGAAACTCTTTTGAACAAAGTAATTAACTCATTTCTAGCCCTCAAACCCAAAGATTCAGAAGCCAATTTTTAAGTAGATGCTTTGCTTTTATAGTCAGAATCATCATTTATCCTTCCTGTAACACCTGTATTTCTAGCAAATACCTTGGTAAAGACCACTAGTGTAGTATACAAATTCCCAATGACCAGTCTTGTACCGGATCTGCATAGTAATTCTACAAATCCCTACATGAACCGTTGACTAACTTAGATATTAGAGAAGTGCCTTACAATTGCTTTTTTAAAAAATTGTGTTCTATCAAATAGAAATAACTGCTTGTTTTCTTTAAAATTCATAGCCAAAATGTACATAATTTAATCTTCCTTTCAGGAGTAGGAAGCATATTTTGGGAATTTACTATGATGTTAACTTGCATTACATAAAAGGAAGGTAAACATAGCAAATATGGCAACTAACAGATGACCTGAGTTGCCTTGTCCATCTGAGCTGGAAGTTAGGAGGTGCTGTTCTTCGAGCGTCTCGATTTGGATTCTTCATTGTAGGTAGTCAAGCTAGAATAGTTTTCTCTCTATACATGTAGTGAGTCACCTCATGTCCACTCCATTCAGAAAAACAAAACAAAAAGCAACTTGAATTTTAACTCCCATGGTGGCATTTTAAGATAAGACAGGGTTTCTCTACAGGACAGAGTATGCACATTTTTTCTTCTTAAAATGAAAATAAATATTATCTGTTAAATTTTTTAGGAGAGAGATAAAAGCAAAAGACATAAAATAATGAGCTTAAGATAGGTTTTTGTTATTAAAACAATGCACTAGGTCCACAGAATCACTGTATGTAGAATTAGTTCTATGATTTGGTTATAAGTAAACAAAGAAGCCAGTAAGACAAGGATATCACATTAATGAAAGAAGAATATTTAGTATTTTTAATTTCCTCTGATGATTTGTATTTTGTTGTTCATCAGATTAGGGCAATTTCTTGAAGGAATTGTCATAAGAAACATAAAAAAGAGAAAAGGAAAAAAGAAATTGAAACAGAGACTGAAGAGGGTAAAGAAGAAAGTTTTAAGAAAAAGAAAAAGAAACATTTTTTAGAAGAGCTTCCAGGACTTGAATTAAATATGGCATTAATTTTTTTTCCACCAAGTCTGAGTCTTGGCAGGTTTCTACTAAAATGCAGGAATTTCATGGATGTGGGACCCAGTGATAGGAAATACATTATTATACACAGCAATTGTTGTACTTGGGAGAAACTATAGAGGGGGAAAAAAATAACACCCTAGAATAAATACAAATGAAATTCATGTATCAAAACCAATACTGTGAAAATAGTTTAAATGTTTCTTGAATTTATATCTAGTCATTAACCTAAATGCAGATTTTAGTTCAAGCCACACTTCTGCCTCATGGTCAGAAGGCCTGAAAACCTGTGGCGTGGAAAATTGGCAGGATAAAGAATATTGAACTGGTCTCCATGGAGAAATAGATTTGGCAGCCATAGCCTTCTTCCCAGACTGGGCTCTTTCCCCTGTCTCTTTCTTCCTCCCTGTTCTACTGCTGTCCCAAGAAAAGAGGCCAAAAGCAGGCTGTAGGTTAGCTGAAACAGCAACCCAAAGTCAACTTCAGTGGTCATTGACCTTGAATCTCCTGGTCAGAAAAAGCCACCAAAAAGTCCCACAAGGCCCTCTGAGAGCACAGAATGTGGGATTCCCTGTTCTATGAACTTTGATTTTCTTCTTCCCCTATAGGAAGTGAGATGAGACAACTACCTCACTCAAGTGCCCTAAAGGAAACTTGAATTCACACGCAGAAATAATAAAATTCATTTACAAAAGCCTTACGAATCAATTCACACACACTCTCCCCACCACCACCCAGACTTCCTTGATGACTTCAAGGAAAACAGACATTTCCTTGAGGTTTACAAAGACCAGAGAAGAAAATCCAAGGAATTCTTTGAAGTCATCTCTCTGCACCCCCTCCCAGGCCAGGTTGAGGCTCCTTCCCTCCTGAGCTGACCCTAAGCCCACACCCTCTAACTAGACAGCCAGTGCTGATGAAGAATGTTTTCCCTTCCAGCCCCCTTTCCAACCTCCACCAGCCCACAGCTTCAGAAGGGGTTCGTTGTTCCCCCAGGCTCTTCTGGTGGGTTTAGGGGCCTTTGCATGAGCAACCTGGGGCAGGAGTGACCCCCCCTCCCCCGAGTTAATGCTGTGTCCCTGTGCTGTGTCATGGTGGTTTTTACCCTGATGTTTTCTTTCTTTACAGCTGGTTAATAATCCGCTAGCAAGTCAGGCGGCGGCAGCTGCAGTGGCTATGGGCTCCGTAGCCAGCTCGCAGGCCTTTGGCAATGCCATCTCCAGTCTTCAGGGGGTCACAGGTCAACTAGTTACTAATGCACAAGGACAGGTGAGTGGGAGATGGGAGCCAGAGTGCATTTTTATGGCAGACTGAACTCAGAGAGCAAATGAATTGCTTTTGCATGACAGCGACATGGAACTGCATCTATTGGAGACATATAAATAATGTTTACCCGCAATGTCAAAAACAGGAGAAGGGTTGAGAGGTGTTTCTATATTTTAGAAGCAAGATTTTATTTTTATTTTCTTTCCTTCCCCTACCATGTCAAAGTTTATTTATTTTTAATTTGCATATGAAGACTTGTTATGACCATAGTGGAGGAAGTTCCCTTCTAGTTCTGGAATGTTATTTGAAACACACAAACAAACAAAAAAGTTAAATTTGGGGACAAAGATTTCAAGTTGGCTTTTATTTAAAAGTTTTTTTCACTCTCCGAAGAAAGGAAAGTCATGGATACCATGGGGAAACTGGTAAGTTTCCTTTCCTAATTACTATAAGGTTGCTGAGCTGGCCTCAATAAAGTCAACTTCTGAATGCATGAAGAAGGTCCATAAAAACAACAAAAAGAAAGGACATGTTAGACAGATGCCAGCTGCAAGTCTGCCTTGGTGTTCCGGCCTCTCGCAGAAGAGGGGGAAGTTTCTCTGGTGTTTGTAGATTTTCTTCAGCCCATCAGGGCCACTAAACCATCCCCAAGTCAGAAGAGTGCCCACACCTTACAATTTCTAACACCTATGTCATGTTCACCTAGATGACAGTGACAGAGCTTCAGCTCATCCCATCTTCCACCCCCATCTCCCCTCCCCCACACACCCCCCTCTCCCCAGCAAGCCTCAGAGCTCCTTCAGCAAACAAACCAGACTTGCCTATAATCCTAGCTACTCTGAAAGCCAGGTTCAAAGCCAAGCTGAACAGGAAAGGCCACAAGACTCTTATCTCCAATAAACTACTAAAAAAAAAAAAAGCCAGAAGTGGAACTTTGGCTCAAGTGATAAAGCACTAGCCTTGTGCAAAAGAAGCTCAGGGACAGTGCCCAGGCCCTAAGTTCAAGCCCCAGGACCAGTACTAAAAAGAAGGAAAAGAAAAGGGAAAAGGAAAGGGAAAAGAAAAGGGGAAAGGAAAGAAAAGGAAAGGGGAAGGGGAAGGGAAAGGAAAGGAAAGGGTTGAAGCTCATGGTCTCAGGGGTGCCCACCCTCAGTGATCAGGACCGAGGGGTCTCCAGTGTGCTATTTGGCATCCTTGCCCAGATTTTTCCTCTTGGAGTTATTATTTGCCTGGCACTCTTGCTCTGGGAAGCGAAGGAACTGTCTTAAGCCCTAGTTTTTTTTTTTTAATTTTACATAAAGAGTAAACAAAGATGCATTATAAGCTAAACCATCTCCATCTATGTCCCAGAGAAAAAAAAGGCTGACCTTGTTATATTTCCTGGGCGGGTGCAGAATTGTCCCGTCAGGCGCCCCAGGGCTGAACGATGGAGCTTGTCAAAGAGAGGCCTCGTGTAATGAATCATCTTATCACACGTGCACACCACCCATACTAAAGGAGGGTCGCAGGCGTGCTGTGCCCTCCACGGTAACCTTTCAGTGTCTGCTTTAACCCTTGTTCCAATCCCTTTTCATCAAAGGATTGTTTTATGCAGCAGGCTTGAAATAGAGACTCTCCAAAGCCTATTAAGATTTCTGGAAAGGTGGGATATTGGGCTGAAGGAAAAGTTGTTTTTAATAGCTATAACTCATACTTACATCAGGTCAGGGCTGAATGCAGTTAACTGGAGCTGTGGCCAGAATTAGAACTCCCCACAGGCAGGTAGCCCTTCATATGTAAACGTTAGAGTTCCAAATGGAAACCACATCCATTGATGTGTATTTCCCTCTGACCATTTTTTTTTTAGTCTACTCCAATATTCAAGAGAAATGCAGGATTATTTCCCACAAGTTGAGTGTTTGTGATGGAGAATTGCCTAACTGTTTAGAAGGAATTATTAGCTTACTCCTCTGATATCTTAATGACATATCAGTTAGCCAATTAGACTGTCAGGGCCCTAGATTTCCAACCTTCTCTACCCTGAGTTGTAGGGCCATGTCCCCCAGGGCTATCTCCAGAGCAGAAAATTGATTGGTATCTTCTAGGTTGCATGAAAGTTGACTTTACCTTAAAATTTTTTTTGTTTTAAAAATTGTATTATGATGGGACTCTCGATTGGGGGGCTGTTTTTTTTTATTTTGAAAGGGTTTTGTGTGTGTATATTTATGTGTGTGTCCGTCCTGGGGCTTGAACGCAGAACCTGAGAGCTATCCCTGAGATTTCTTGCTCAAAACTAGTGCTCTATCACTTTTGGGAGTTTTTGCTGGTTAATTGGAGGTAAGAATCTCATATACATTCCTGCACACAGTGAGTTCAAACTGTGATCCTTAGATCTCAGCTTCTTGAGTAACTAGAACTACAGGTCTGAGCTACCAGCACCCAACTTGTGTTATGACAGTCTGATAAGGAACATAAAACTCCTAAAGTAAAAAAAAAAAGTACATTCAGTACATCAATAGTCTTGTCATTTTTTTGTAACCACATGTGCAGAAAGAGTCCAACTAAAACATTTTCAATAGATGAACTGGTCAGCTGTGTGAGCATCACTCTTTCTGTTGTAATCTTTATAAGTGACTGTGAACACCTACCACCAAAAAAGAGAAGCAGAAATTAGTTGGTGTGTGTGTGCATGTGCGTGTGTGTGTGTGTGTGTGTATGTGTAAAAGATTATTAGACTTTGCCAGAGAACCATGCAGACATCCAAGTACAGAGAACAAAGAAAGGCTTATTGCCTCTGTGCGTGCGTGTGTGTGTGTGTGTGTGTGTGTGTGTGTGTGTGTGTGTGTGTGTGTGTGTGTTTGGCTTGTTGTGAATATGTTCCAAAATATAAGCATATGTTGAAGCCAGTTTGCTACAGCTATCCTTGCTCACAATAAGGCGATACTCTCCTCAACTTCAAGTTGTTCAAAACTTCTGTAGAGTTTTCCTAGCAAGGTGCACATGTGTTTAGAGACTTTTTCATCAGAGTTCTAGACATCAACTATTTCATACACTTGGAAAATGTCCCATTCATAATAACCTTAAAATCTAAAACTAAGTTGCCAAAGCTTATTTTCCTGATATACTAGAGAGGGTTCGTCTGTAGAGAAGACACCAGACAGAGGCTTCTGTTCCAAAATGAGCTCATCCTCAGCTTCTACTGGCCATGTTTCTCTTGACTTCCTGGAACAGAAAGAGAGTGAGAGGATGACTTTGACTCCAGTCCTACCTGAGATCGGGCTGAGGCTTTCTGGTCATCTTGGGACAAGGGCCTCATATTCATGCTTCTAGTTCAGATGGAATCTTGTTAGGCAATTGTGGAAGCCAATGCTTCCATACCAAGTGGTCCTGGGGCTGCTTCTCATTGGACTGGAAACTTCCTTCAATCTGCTGGCTCTCAATAGGAGGAAATCGTACCACCTGACGCTTGCTGTTCTGTCTCTCTGTGTCAGAATCTGGTGGCGTTTCCTATAACTTGATCTCAGTAAATCTAAAGAAAAGTGTCAGATACAGAAGGATTTTTTTTTTGCTCCTTTGTTCTCCCAGTCACTATTATAAGCAAATAGAGAGGAAATGTTTAGTTGTTTTCATAGTTTTCTAACTCTGCCTATTCATAGCCATTAATTCAAAAGATAGACAGTAGTCAATAGTTATTAATGCCTACAGATACTATATGCTAAAGTAACAATGTTTATGTCTTACCTAGGGTTGTTGGGTGTATTTTTTTCTTTTTTGGATTTTAAATGATCATTCCAAACTTTGCTCTAACATGGCAAGGTAGCAAATGTCCTCTGGGTACTTAATGGTTATGAAACTGACATTCGTTATGGTGCTGCTGAGAACATTCTAGTTCTCTTTACTTGATTGGGACATATGTGAGAATGACAGGCACTGGAATCAACACTAGTGATGGCATTTGAATCCTTGCTTGGCCTATGTGACCTTGAGTAAAATTTCATGAGCCTTCTGAGCCTGTTTTCCTGACTTACAGAATATGAATAATAAACTCTAAGCCCCTGGGTTGTGAGGATTAACTGAGATAGTATGTGAAGAAAGAAACCTATGCCCGTGCAATGGCTGCCATCATCATCATCACTGTCTTCGTCATGACCATTGCTCAGTGCTTTGTCAAGTTTGGAGATACAGCACAATATGCAGTGTAATGCACAGGCCATGAGAATAGGTTCTGGAACCAGAATGTGGTTCACCATCTATGAGACCCTGGGCAACTAACTTCCTGTCCTCCTGTCTTCTTCTTCTGAAACAATGGGGTGACAAGGGCACCAGTTCCTAGGATCAAGGCACTAGAATGGTGTTAGACATGCAATCATCTCTTCTTGCTGTCCGTTCATGGGGATGGTAAGGCTCCCATTCATAATTTCACACAGACTTGTGGGAAAGTCTGTGCATCTGTGAGCAGTGTGAAAGTGTGTGAATCTTAGTAGGGTGTTATTTTACTGACATTCAACCAACTTATCCCAGATAGTTCTATGGGGGGGGGGCTTCAAGGGGGCTGGAAGGGGTGTGTGTAAGGGGAGGTGTGAAGGGGGAAAAAGGGGAAAGATGAAGGGAGTGGGAAGGAGTGGGAAGAATAAGGGTGAGGAGAGGAGAGGGGAGATGTGGGGGGTTCTGAGGAGGATGATATGTGTGTGTCTATGTGTCTGTGTGTGTGTGGGGTGTGTGTGTGTGTGTGTCTGTATGTGTGTGCTAGTGACACTCCGTATGTTCCTGATTTGGCAAGTAGATTTACCATCGATTTGTTCTGCTGTGGAGTTGGTTTCCCTTATGCCCCTGGCAATATCTCCTTATTGGCATTATTACAGAAAAGTAAAAGCAAATGAAATTTTATTTTATCCTGGGGTTAAGGAAGCATTTTACATTTTAACTGAAGCTCAGAATGTTTCCTGATGAAATTAAGCCCTGGCCTGCTGTGGAGATTTCCTGAGCAGTAGCAGTAAAGTCAGACCCCCCCTACACCCCCCTCC